AGCTCTCTAATTAAATTGTTACTAGTAAGAATCACAATTAGAGAACTACAATGGAATTGTACTAGTAAGAATTACAATTAGAGCGCTCTCTAATTCAATTCTTACTAGTAACAAATTTATTTAGAGAGCTCTCAAATCAAATTATGCCAAGTAACAATTACAATTAGAGAGCTTGTTACTTGTTACTAGTAGAATTGAATTAGAGAGCTCTCTAATTGCAATTGTTACTAGTCATAATTGGATTAGAGAGATCTCTAATTGAATTGTTATTAGCACTCTAATTGAATTCATACTAGTAAGAATAACTAGTAGCAATTAACTCTAATTAATTAGAGAGCTCTCTGAATCAGTTTTTACTTGTAATTATTGCATTAAAGAGCTCTCTTAATATAATTCTTTCTTACTAGTCAGAATGCAATTGGAGAGCTCTGTAATTAAATTAAAGAGCTCTGCAATTACATTCTTACTTGTAAGAATCAAATTTGAGACCTCTCTAATCAAAATTGTTACTAGTAAGAATTGAGTTAGAGAGCTCTCTAATTGTAATTGCTAGTACGAATTGAATTGTAAAGCTCTCTAATTGAATTCTTACTCTGAAAAATGAAATTACAACGAGTAAGGCTGGGAACAATTTAAGCTAAAACGGCTTGCCATAAATATCGATATAGTAGTCGGGGAAGACAATTTTTTTTACTTCAGATTAGTTTTCAGGAATTTGTTGGGGGTATCTAAGAGTCCATATACTGTGTGTGTGTGTGTAGATGGTTGGCAGAATAATCCCTCAGTCTAGATGGGCAAAGTCAATCTTAATTGTGATGGAGACATCCGGCTTGAGTGGCAGGATTAATGTTTTGCTACGAGATTGAATGTCAAGATGGAAGGAGGGGTCGAAAGTGAAAAAAATGGGGTGATATGAAAAGTCACTGTAAAGCTGCAGCTATTTCATGTGAAACAATCATCTACTGAAAATGTTTTTGTATTTTGTTGAATCTGTTCTTAACGTGTAATTCTACTGTTCCAACATACTACTAAAATAATATTATTTTTAAAGTGTATATATATATATATATATATATATATATAAGCTGGGTTCAAGCCCTTTCCAAATCTTTTTTTATTTCTTTTATCGTTTGTCTGTAACAAAAGTTATGGTTATCTGAATTCGGCTGATCGCTATGATTTTCAGAAACGGAATTTTGAGAAAAACAGGTTTAATTAACAGTCACGTCCTGCTAGCGGGATGACTGGCGCTCCCTTTTCTATTGCCTTTTTTTCATATCACATATTTTAGTAATCATCATAGATTAGGTATCATTCGAAAGCTTACAAACTCAAAACTCAACCTGTGAAAACCGTTTTGAAATTGGACGATTGAGAGGCGAGCAAGATCTTTTCAACCAGCAGCTTCAAACTCTGTTGTTCTCTTGTGCTCCGCATCACACCAAACGATAACGCTGGATAAAAATAAATAAATAAAAACTTGTGGGCTGTTGTAGTTAACCCAGGACTGGACTTTATTCTGTTATTTTGTTTATTTTGATAGGTGAACTGTCTTTGTAGTGTTAACTTAAGAGAAGGAGAGCTAAACGGGAGGTATTGTTTTTTCCCCTCCGCTCCGCCGCTGTGCGTGTTCTTAAAGAGAAACACAGTCTTAAAAGCTGCCCATTATAAATCGCTATTTTTATGCACTAAACTAGTGAATTTTCCCAATATATGATACAGAGATCATAAACAAGATTTTATAGAATAATAACTTAACAAAAAACTGACATACAATCTATATCAGCCCATTCTCACCCCCAAGGCGTCACTTAACTGACGCCATGGGAAGCATTTGGACATGCTTCAATATCTGACGCTTTAGGCGCCCTTTAGCGTCAGTTAGATGACGCCCTAGGATCGCGTGTACCCTACCCCCACCCCACACCTAAACCTAACCGCGTCCTCTAACAGACGCTTTCCTTTAGCGTCAGTTAGATGACGCCGTAGGATCGCGTCATGTAAGTGACGCTAAAGGGCGCCTAAAACGTCAAATATTGAAGCATGGTCAAAGGTGACGCCTTGGGGTGAGAATGCGTTGTCTATATTTAGACCTAACTGAAAACGTACCAGCGCGGCATCTGACGGGTTTTCCCAGATCACATCACATATTACATAAGTATATATACACACTTTAAAGAGAGAGAGAGAGAGACTGTTTTTGAATTTAGTGGTCTTAGCTCTTTTTTTTTTTAAAATAAGGCTGCGTTTACACTTGCCATTAACATGCGATCACCTTGATCCAGTCAAGGATATCGGATCATAAGCCACATAAATTGGCTTCTGTATCTGGATAACAGATCAGATCTCGCATGCAAAAAATAAAAATAAAGAAGAATAAAAAAGAAAAAGAAAAAAAAAGTGCTTTCTTTAAATAAAATGAATGGTTCTACATCTTGTGGGTGCGAAGGTAAACATTTCATGTTCTACATCTTTCAGGTGCGAAGGTAAACATTTCATGATGTACTTCGCATTCGATGGTGTCGCAAAGCCACACAGCTCTCAGTTCCGGAGAGAGAAGGGGGAAAATGACAGTGGGCGGGGTTTTGTGTGACGTCCACTTGTGAATGCAGACACGGTGGCTGGATTGTGTTTACATTGCACCGATCACAATGCGTCCTCGACTACCTCCAATCCTGGACACGCTGATCGGATAACATTCCGATCAGAAACGCGTTTACACTTCCGGACAAAATCAGTTGCATGTTAATGCCAAGTGTAAACGCGCAGCCAAAGACTTGCTATCTCTTCAAGTCATATCACTTGAAGTGTTCAATCCTGTTGTCTTCAACAGAAGTGTAGGTGTCTCTTTTTTTAACCTGATGGTCTGATCCTATTATTCAACCCAGGTGCAGATGATTAAATGTATAACTCCCAGCTCTACACTTTGCAGAGTCAGCAAACATGGTCCCTGTTGATAAAGAAAGCAGATATTTTCCCATGATTGACAGACAGGTGTAGTCACTGTACCTCTTTAATCTGAGAAATGAAACTTGCCTGCAACTGACAATGACTGTACAATCGAGAGTAACTAAAATGTATGTAATCTTATTTAAACATGGCACTAAACAGATTACATTTAATTTAACTAATCTTCTAGCCACTTGCTGTGTCTGCTCAATAAGCCATTAACCTGTATAATCTAACTTTGTGTCTGGAATAAAATGTAAACTACTGTGTCTTTTTACAGATGCCTACCCTATCTCAGAAGTTGTGTATAAGTGGACTAAAGGCCCTGGCAAATCTGTGGTAGTGGCGGAGGAAGGGTCACGTCTCAACCAATACCATTTGATTGGCCACACGGCTGGTACGGAAGATATCAGCACAAGTAGAGGTAAACCACTTTGACCCATTCATTGTAATGAGTGTCAGTCAATTGGTAAAAGATCTGTGAATCAACTTGGCAGTTAGGGCCGGGGCCCAAAACGTTTTCTCCCTTAATTGTGAAAATACAATGCTCATTATTCGCCACGATACTGCATTTTTCGTATTGTTTTTTTTTTTAAAGAATTTTGTTTAATTAAAAAACTTGTTTAATGTTATTATTATTATACTTGTGTTTATTTTTATGTTTATAGTTTTATACACACTTTTTATTTCATTTGTAATAAATTATATGTGTGTGTGTGTGTGACAATTAGATTAAAATAACAGTTTAGCTTACAGTTTGATTTCCAGTAATTACATCGCAGTTCCTAATAAAGTCCACATTGCAGTCCCTTATAGAGCTGTCCACTGACATTTTATTTGCTTGCCAGAGAGTCATTTTTTCATAGTTCATCTGATCTTCTAACCTGTTGCATCTCAAGGATTATTTGCCGGACCATAATGTGTTGCATCACACCCTTTCAGTTTTATTCTTCTACATCATGTGACGTCGTCTCTCTTAAATAAAGTGATAGCTGTAGTGATTATAGCTTTTTCAAATCAAGCTGGATGACAAATTACACCTCCCACTCACGGCCAGCTGTCTCTTGGACCAGCATGAGCATAGGAAGAGATGAAGATAGAGAGGGAGGGTAAAAAACAACACTTATCCTGAGCCATTGGGTCTGGAGGGTTAATCCTCATGCCTACCCATCAGTTGTGCTTTTACCATGTGACGTCGGTCCGCCGCCATTGGCTCAAGCCGGCAAGAGAAGAAGGGAGGGGGGGGGGGGATAGGCGGCATCTGCTTAATTCGGTTATGTAAAGAGGACTTGTAATACACTCATATCATTGCTGCCTCTAGCTTTGTAATCATTAAGCTTGGGGGAGGGAGTCGGGGGCTTCCCCTTGTTCCGCCTTTATGGATGTATGATAACCGTGCTGAGCTGGCGTCCAGTCATATTCACTAAGACATTTATCGTACTTTGATCGTGAGCTAGGAAAACAATACCAACTGCGCTGACCATGTTATGTTTTGAACCCTGCTGAACCATCTCTCTTTCTCACTGTGATTGATTTACACATCAAAGTACACCAGCTGTCATCACGTTGCCAAAGGCTTTTTTAGACACAAGCTTCCAGGCCATGGCCTTCCTTTCAGGGAGACCCCCCGCCTCAGTCATTACTGCTGCTAATCTGAGGTGTAAACCTCTTTACAAAGTCATAAATAGATACACCAGTACTTCATATCACGAGCACAGGGCCATTAAGCTCAACATAGAAAACCGGGTAGAGAAGAAAGAAGGAGCAAAGGAGGGAGAAAAAAAAATACTTTTTTAGAGTCTGCCGCCATACAGGGGTGAAATTATTTCTGGTGGAAATGTCAACATTCAATCACATGGCCCGCACTGTAAAGACATCCAGATAACCTGTCACCTTTTATTAATAAGAACTTCCATCCAGAAAATAGCACCTGTCCTTCCCAACTGTTTCAAATTGATTTAGAATCTGACCCCCTTCAGGTGCTCAACCGTTCCTGTCGACTTTCAATGCTACAGTATGTTTTTTGAAGTGTAGAAAAGCAGACCACTCACCAGTTGACCAACATGGCAGCGTTGTTCTCTGCTATGAATGGGAGTTCTCCATAAACACTCCAAAAACTTAGCAGTAAAATCCACCACAGTCGCATGTTTGCAGCTCTCAGAAGATTCCCACCCAGCAGGGCACATCCAAGGTGCAATATATGAAATGGGGCGCTGCCAGTCGTTCTTTCTTCCCTGTCATTGAAATAAAGGGGTGAGCAAGCCGAAGGGGATGCGACGAGCCCCTCGTGATGAGGACATCTTTGCCCCCAGGGCCCTCCCGATGTTCAAACTTTTCCTTGACTTCCAAGGCTCAACAGCTTGTCGTGCTCTTCATCTGATCCACTTGATCTATCCCCTCTGATTCCGACCAGATTTAACGTTTTCGCTGTGTTGTCTTCACTCTTTTTTTGTTCCCCCACTCTCTTTCTGCGTGCTGTATCCTAAACGTGGATGGCCTGGCCTGACAGAATGGATGTAACTATTGAAAGAGCGAGAGACAGACATGTGACAGACAGTGTGTGTGTGTGTGAGAGAGAGAGAGAGAGAGAGAGAGAGAGAGAAGCCTACAGGATGCAGATTGTGACAAGGGATTAGTGGGACACAAAAATCCGATTTTGCCAGGAGAAAGCAGCAGTCATCAGTGGATTTTCTATAGTTTATCAGACTGTGTGGCTCAAAAGGATTTTTGTTTTTTTTTTTCAAAAAAGCTTCAAATTCAATCTTCGCTTGGTTAACAGGATATATAGTTTTTTTCACTTTTTATTCTCTTATCTATTCTAGTTAATGATTTACCTCACCATGTTCCAGAGCACAGTTTGACAGCTCTTAAGCACATCATAAATGTCGCTTTTATTTAGATGATTCTATCCATTTCCATACTAGTGATTTATGTAGTTTTTATTCATTTAAAGTGATCTATTATAATAAGTTTGACTAAAACAGTCAAATCATCTTTGTGGTCAGACTTTACATAAACTGTCCACTATTTGGTGCTAATGAGACCAACATCCAGGATGTCAAAGTGCTTCCCTAAAAGAATACTGACAGAAAAATTCCATAATCACATCACTTCCCAATTGTTTTGATTTGTCTCATATTATGCCTCTATCTTCCCTTGACTTGTGTCACCACCTCTCTCTCTCTCTCTCTCTCTCTCTCTTTTTCTCATTTTCTTTTTAAACCTCTCAGCTGGTTTGCACTTATCCCTCCCAAGAGTTTAATCACACTCTATCCCTCCCTCTCTTAGTCCCTTTGTTTCTTCTCTTACTTATTTTTCCATTACTGTTTTCGATTCTCATCCTTTCTCTCATTTTATTCTTCTTCTGTTTCATTGTTCCCCTGCAGGTCAATACACAGTCATGATGGCCCATTTCTACCTGAAGAGGAAGATTGGTTACTTTGTGATTCAGACTTACATGCCCTGCTTCATGACTGTCATTCTGTCCCAAGTCTCATTCTGGCTCAACCGTGAATCTGTCCCTGCCAGGACTGTCTTCGGTTAGTGCATCCTTTTACAAATTTTTTTTTTTGGCAATTCAGATTTTATACAGATTTCCTTTTTTAATCTACATCAATCAGTTCGCCCCTCATGGAGGATGCCACGTTGAGATCACATTGAGATTTTGTAATTTAAAAAATATATTTATATAATCATATATATATTTCATAGCTTTAATTTGTTTTCCTTTTTTTGTTGTTGACATTTTAGTACTTCAACTTATTTAATTTAGTTTATAATTTTCAGTTTTCAGAAAACAATGATAAATATCGAAAGGACATTACATGTAGTTATGCAATGCTGGCATTATTAACATAACAAAGTAGCCTAAAATTTGCACGATTTTGCATGATATGCGATTTTTAGATTTAATCGGCGCGATTTACTGCAATGTCAGAACCAGAACAAAAGTGGATGTTTCTCACTAGTTCAGATGACATTTCCTGGTGAAAATTATTATGTTGGTCATACTTCCAAAAAGAATAATCTGTGATTCTGAATGCCAGTATCGACACATGGCGCGGTGACTGACAGCCTCACACTCTCCTCAAACATTGTGTTCATCCACGCTGTGCCGTGTCCAGGGTGTTGTAGTACAACTCACGTAAAGTTGATAATTCCACGAATGACTGTAATTGCAGATTTCGAACAGAGATGGCGACAAAGAGGAAAAACTACAGACTGCAGCTTTAACCTGCTGTCAGCCCTTCTGGTTGATGGTGTAAATTCACCATCTAATTCTTGATGCAAAAAAGCATCATTCTTTATTGAGAAAACCCAAATTAAGTGTATAATGTTTATATTTGGTGATTTGCTTGAAAACTTGAGAAAATGCTAACGTTAATGCTAATAGCTTTCTCCAGTTATTATAGATCTCTAAGACAGATTTTGTTTATTTGTTGATATTTCAGATTTTGTTTTTTTCAAGAAAGGTTTTATTCTCTACGGACCAGGGGCCTCATGTATAAACGTTGCGTACGCACAAAATGGGCATAGAAATATGCGTACGCATTTTTCCACGCGCACATCGGGATTTATAAAAAATAAACTCGGCGTAAATAAGTGCGCACCGTAAGGATGCTCTTGACCGTGCGTACGCACTCTTTTAGAAGAGTATGGGTTTTGGCGACACCGATGGTGAGCTGGAGTCAAATGTCTTTTTGCTTACTATTAGACAGAGAATCTAAAGAAAATTATACATCTACAGAAAGATAATACAAATATAATTTCACAAACCTATCATCACTTGAAGCAAACATCCATCCCTTCTTAAATGACCGTGCCAGCATGCGCGTTGGGCCGTTTGGTGAAACTGACGCACATAGCCTATAATCTAACGGCAGATGAAGTAAAACCGTAAATCTTCATTATGAGTCCAAATCATAAATACAGTCCATATTCACAATAACAGTTTAAATAAATAAGAGAATGGTTTAAACTATGTTTTACTTAAGATATAAACATTTAGATTAAATATGCCATTAAAATATGAAAAATATATTTTTTTTCATAAGATAAAATATTTTAAATATGAGTTAAACTCTTAAACTACATGAAATCATTACGGAGAAGTTACAATATATATATATATATATATATATATATATATATATATATATATATATATATCAATAAAAAGAAATAGACCTATTTGTTGTGGATGCATTGCTTTTGAACACTTTTCTTCTGGCATGCTGTGTTTTAATGTTTTAACTAGAGATTGTCTGAGAAAACTATTTCGTGCAAAAATTGCACAACCATGTCTATCTCTTTCTATTAAAATATAAATCAATTAAAAATACTATTTGGCCAGTGGAAAAGATTGAGAAAAACTTTCTCTGAAATGTATTTAACACTATTTGATTTAATCATTCAAAAACAAGGCAAGGATATAGGCCATTAAAACAAAATGTTTGTAATAATGTGACGGCACATCCGCATTTCATATTTTTCTTACGTCTTGTACCGTTAAACTTGGTATCACGTGGATGAATAATCATATGCAAATGATATGCAGATGAGGATATGCATATTTAAACTAGGCGTTGTAATCTCCATATGTGGTTATTTCGGGGAGGAGACGCACATCCGCATAATCTTCCGCTGACTGGGATTTATAAAGTGAATTCTGCGCAGGTTTTGGCGTACGAACGGTTTTATAAATCTGAAAACTTTTGTGCGTACGCAAATTCTGCCTTATGTGCGTATGCACACTTTAAGGATGAAATCTACGCAAAGTTTTATACATGAGGCCCCAGGCCTCCATCTAATAAGTGAATCCAAATATAGCCTTATGTGATTTCTTAAAAATGAATGCTAAAGCTAATAGATTTTTCCAGTGATTATAGATCTCTTACATAGAAACACACACTGATTGCCCCTTTTAAAAAACTCATTAGTGGTCTTCATAGCATCAGATATTTACTCCCCAAGGCATGACTGTATGCAGAGCATCTTTTAGAACTATATTCCCTTTTCACTCTTCTGGCATATATGGATTCTTAGCTGTTGCTCCTTTTGGCCATCAGTTAATGTTTTGCCTACATCGATAATTCTCATCAAAATGGAAATCAGAATTGACTGATTCAATCAGAGGGAATGAAGAACTAATCCACTCAGATGATTGTTTCTGAATTCACACCGCCATTTCCATTTAATTCTGAGGCCTTGAATTGTATCTTGGCAATAATCAGCAATAACAAGCGAGCAGACAGTCCACAAGGAATATGTGCCCACGCAAACAAGATCTCTATGACTGGCCAACAAAGGATACATCAAGACAAAACACTTTCTCACACACTTATACAAATATCCATGAACAGTGGTTTAAAGACCCGCTAACTGATATCGCACATGTGACAGTATTTTATTTGCATAGCCCGAGGCTGAGAAATCCCGGAGTTGATGCCTAAGAGACTGTAGTACCATAGCTATTTATGTTTAAAAGTCTCTGTGTCCGCTGCCTGGGGCAATCTGCAGATCTCCCTCTGACAGGGACAGACACCACTGCTCCTTCAGCAATTCTCCAGAACTATTGTCAGGTGCTTTGCATAAAGAATATTTAATGATACTTTCACTCTAAGGGCATGCTTGATGTTAAAAAAGGTTATATTTGAACTGCATTGATGCTGTGTTTGACCTTTCGTTGTACTTTTTTTTTCTTTGAATAAACTGCATTTCTGGGAATGAAATTATCTTAATGTTAGCATTCCCCACTGGTTTTGGTTTGTTTTGTTGTTAAGATGAGTTTATGATTCATGAATCAAGTATTTTAAAAATGAAAAGAATTATGTTGGATGAAAGACAAAATTTCCCTGTCACTAGTAGTGGCATTCACAAAATGAATGAAAAGATTTTGATGGATTACTACTGTTATATTTTTTGGCACACAAATAATTTTATTTTAAAAGCATTGCATTGCCTTGCATAAATAAGTTACAGTTTAACACTTTTACATTTTTTAAAAAAATTATAGTTTTACTCTCTTTACAATTTTTTTATGTTTTTGAAAGAAGTCTCATGCTCATCAAAACAGCATTTATTCAAAAATACAGTAAATACAGTAATACCATCAAATATTATTACAATCTAAAACAACTGTGTTCTTTTAGCTTATTTCTGTGATTGCAAAGCTAAATTTTCAGCAGCCATTACTTCACAGAATTCTTCAGAAATAACTCTAATATGCTGATTTGGTGCTCAATCAAGAAATACATGTCTATAAATAGAATGCGTTCTTGCTGAATAAATGTATTTATTTATTTTATATTATTTATTTATTTATATTTTAAAAATTCATTTCTGATCTCAATGGTATTACTGTATATCAGGTTTTCCTCAAAAATATTAAGCAGCAAAAACAGTTTTCAACAATGATCTGAATAGGAAATATTTTTTTAAGCACCAGAATGATTTCTGACAGGATCATGTAACAGTGAAGACCAGAGTAATGGCATAAGACACTTCTTTCAAAAACATAAAAAAAACAGTTGTTCCAAACTTTTTTTTTTTTTTTTACC